ACACTAGTATAAGTTTTATTCTCCAGAATTACATGGGGACCACAACATCCATGTAGAAATTCCAAATCAAAATACTAGTGCACTTAAACATAAAAAAATATATATAATAATAAATAAAAAAAATCCTCTGACAACATAAGAAACACTAGTATAATTTACATTCTCCATAATAACGAGACCACATCCACGGTATCCACCATCTAGAAATTCCAAATCAAAATAATAGTACACTTGATGATAATGAGAAAAATGACATTTTGCTGTGCAAGTTAAAAAAATGTATTAGTAGATTCCCAAATAATAATAATAAATAAAATATTTCCACTGTTTAAAAAAAGAGTGAATTTATCACAAATAAAAACAAACTGATAAACAATCTATAGACATCCATGCATGTCTACACACAGAAATAGAAACCTAATCCGATGCATGCATAGAAAAACAGAGATAGAGATGCATATAATCCAATTAAACAATTTAAAAAATCAAATATTTCCATTTCTTTTTTATTAAAAAAGAATATAATATCTGAGAAACAATCTGTATACATGCATGCATAGACACACACACAAATAGAAACATAATCCGATGCATGCATAGAAAAACAGAGATAGAGATCCAAACAATCCAATTAAACAATATGAAAAATCAAATATTTTCATTTACAAAAATAAATAAATAAATTTTTATTTGTGATAAAAATAAAAATAAATAAATAAAAACTGATAAACAATCTTGATACATGCATGCATAAACACACACAGAAAGAGAAAAATCGGATGCATGCATAGAAAAACAGAGATAGAGCGAGATGCATAAAATCCAATTACACAACATAAAAAATCAAATATTTCCATTTCTTTAAAAGAAGACAAATTTTATCACAAATAAAAACAAACTGATAAACAATCTATATACATGCATGCATAGACAGACACAGAACGAGAAAAATCCAATGCATGCATAGAAAAGCAGGGATAGAAATGCATATAATCCAATTAAACAACATAAAAAATCAAATATTTCCATTCTATTTTTTTTTAAAAAAAGAAGAAGATAAATTTTATCACAAATTAAAACAAACTAATAAACAATCTATATACATGCATGCATGTCTACACACACAAATAGAAACAGAATCCGATGCATGCATAGAAAAACACAGATAGAGAGATGCATATAATCCAGTTATCCAATATGAAAAGCAACTCGAATATTAAATAGAACCTGATGGTACTTAAAAAATGACACGTGAATCCCATAAACATCCTAGTACTAATGCTAATATGAAATATTGAAATTATGTAAAAATTGGCCACCAAATAAACAGGCATTTTAGGGGGAAAATGAACGTTAAGTCCAATATTGAATAAATAGAAAATAACAATGAGTGGAAAACGAAAAGCCAGATAAATGGTGCAAATTAATTAAAAGTAAAAAAACAAAAACAAAAAAAGAAATTTACCCAGTTCAGATAGAGCTTCAGAACCCAAACATGAAGAGTTTGAGAGAGAGAGAGAGAGAGAGAGAGAGAGAGAGAATGTGTGTGTGTGTGTGTGTGTGTGTGTGTTAGAGAGAGAGAGAGAGAGAGTGAAGAGTTTCAAGTCTTGATGGGTTTTCACTGTTGTTTCAAATCCGCTAGCGAGGCAGTAAAGGCATCTAAGGTGGACACGTCGGAGAGAGGAGAAAGACAAGTGTTCGTTTGAGTTGTTACATGCATGCGCTCTGATTGGTGGGCACAAGAAGCTTCCAGTGTGCACACCAACATTCTATCAAACCACAAAAATTATTGGGTGCGGCAAACATGTATCGTGATTCGTACATCCGGTCAAAGATTCAAGCCCACTGTTGAGAGCACTTTATTCAGAGGGAGCCACAAATTTTATTGGAATGGTACATATTTATTTGGTGAAAGTTCCAATAACTTGTCGTCTTGCCAATTACTAGTATAAAAGTATTTTGACTGAAAATTATTTTCATTTTATCACTTAAGAAGGTATTTTTGGTTATTTTTCAAAAAAAAAAAAAAACCAATCGCAAATAACCAGAGTATCAGTATTCTTTGTTTTATCAACAAATGAAATTATATTCTTTTTTTATTACATACAAAATAAATATTTTATTTTTTTTCTTTAGAATTGTTTTAAATACTAACGTACAATGAGGTTGTTAAAAGCAGTCTTTAAATTTTGTGTACGTCTTTTATTAAAATATAGTCTCAACTAAAAAAAAGGCTGGCTAAATAATCAATGGTCTATTAATACATACATATGGTTCCAATGAAATCATCTAAAAGTCGTATAATACGAAATAGAAATTCTAAACTGTGTGATTCAAAATACTTGTTATAGGTACATTAATAATTTCTTTCAAGTTCAGAATACTTCTACCTATTTTGAACAAATAGTAGAGGATTTGAATATTCAGGGAGAATTTTTTTGCCTAGCCAAAAAAATAAAATATTTGACAAATTGTTATACTCCTCCGTACTACAAAATTGGCTATGAAATGTTTACTTCTATGCACACAATAGGACTGCCAAGGCAATACACTAATTTTGAACCATAAATAATGCATAAATTGTTAAAACAATGATTCATCTATGTCATAAAAAGACTTTGATTTTCTTAAACCAATTATAAATCAGCAAACAATTAACTCCTCATCAAATTAAAACTCAATCCAAGCAAACAATTAGAAGAACTCCTCGATATAAAATATTTCCATCCCAACATCCTAATCAGGTACGGATCTATGAAGAGCTCAGTGGGGCATGCGCCGCACTGAAATTCTTTATTTTTACATTTTATACCTTAAAATTATACTACCTTTTTGCATTTATACCCATAAAAATTTAAAATTGCCTCCAATGAAATTATGAAAAAACTTCTTTATATAAATTTGCCCCCACTCCTCATATGAGTTCTTAGATCCGTCCCTGACCCTGATCCAAAAAAATAGTGAGTTTTGAAATAAAAATAACTTTTTGTTAGATAAGAAATATATTTAAAATTATTTATTATTTTCTACCAAGCTTTAGGAGAACTGAGGAGAGAAAACGAAAAAAGTATTATGAATTTATGATACCAATATTACAAAAATACAAACACAAAGTAGGATGGTGCTTTTTCAGATAACAGAAAACACACCTATGAACCAATATTATTTGAATTCACTAGGAGGTGACCCACACTCCTTATCAAACATCAGTTTTCAAACTAGAAATACCCCTAGAAACAACCCCTGGAAACTATATATATATATATATATATATATATATGAATCGAGACGTTGTAATTTGAGTGAAATCTAATTGGAATGTTGGATGGATTAAAAATTCAAAACAAATTTATAATAAACTCTAAATTAGTATTGATGTTAATTTTTTACGGAGTTCTCTTACATGTTTAGATAAAGTATTAAAAAATAAAACTCATATATATAATAAGGGAGTTGATAATCACGCTCCAAAATAGTTATAAGTCTCTCCACTTTTAATTTATGATAAAAGAAATGATCAAAGTACCCTATATCACACCCATTAAAAAAACATATTATCTCCCCATTTTTCCCTTTCGTCTTCTTTCTCTGCTCTTCGGGGTTTCATCCTCCCTCCCTCTAATTCTTTCTATCCAACCAACCATACCATCTTTATATCCTCATTGTAAATCAGATTCGACCCTCATTAGCTGAGAATGAGAGAATGATAACCATATAGTTTTGAAATAATGTATTGAAATTTTTTTCACTTGTTTCTTTTGACAAGTATTGCAAAATTTGCCAAAGTCTTCTAACCTTGTTAAGTTGGTAAGATGCCTCATGTTAGCTCTTCGAACGCAAGGATTCGAGACTCGACACCAACTAACTCCTAACATTTATCCTTCAAAAAAAATAAAGTACTGTAAAATTTCCAATCGGCCACAATTAAAAAAACACTTATTTCTTTTGATAAGTACAGCAAAACCACTAGTGGTTCAATGATATCGGACTCATACTTTTCAAAGAGAAATTATCAATGAAGTAGTGTGTCACGTTTAAAAGACAAAAATAAACCACTCTACTTTTCATAACGTGAAAAACATTAATGTAAATCTTACACTTTAGCACCTTTGTGAGTTCAAGAAACATTTTTCTCTTTCATTGTTACCTTTGTCTTTCCTGTTTTACTGTAGCAGCGGCTGGTAGGGTAATGGGTAGGGCTTGTTTTGCTCTCTCTGGGTGTATCGAGGGTGTTCTTGATTGGGCTAGGCCCTGCTTTGTACAGTTTTGTCCTAAATAGAATGTTTGAATTAACCAAAAATAAAAATCAAAAATTGTTTGTGAGTTCATAACTTCATGTCCAAGAACCTTTTTTACATCTCAATCTTTGTTTTGTCACATGATTTGAACTCGTTAAACCCAGTCAATTCAGATGTAGTAATCAATCAATGATGATTAACAATTTGATTTTTTGTAGGTGAATAAGCGCAAATCAATCAAGAGAGCACTGTGGTATCTGCTCTGCTTAACAAGGTACAGATAAAACCATTATAAAACACACATAGCAACATTATAAAACACACATTACACACACATACAGGTACTTTTGGGCTGTAAACCAGGAGCTTTGTTAACAGAAAGAGATGAGCAAAGCAAAATACTCATAAGCAAAGTAGCTATAAACGACCTCAACCCAAGACTATAGTTAGGGATTATACAATTTTCTGGAAAACGAAGGCTAAAGCTACACAATGCAAATACCACGCATGGTGCAGAAGAAATCGAAATGAAATATGCAAACATTTTGAATTGACCAGTGTAAATGAACAATGGTTATATTAGTAATATTTCCATGCATTCTCCAATCGGATTAATAAATCAAAATTTTGTTCCTTTTTTTTTCAAATGAAAACTTCTGCAGATATGTACAATTTAATCAAGAACTTGTTGAATGGGGAGGAACAAAACTAACGAAAAAAATAATAAAATAGAACTCACTGACTTAACCAAGAAAGTAGAAGAAAAAAAAAAAAAAAAAGAACTCACTGTCACCCTAAAGAGTCACAACAAGGCGCCGAATTTTGCCTCCCTACCAATTCGAACTCTCTACTATTCATCAGTCACTCATCCCTTTGAAGCTGACTGCAAATTCTTGATGTACTGGAATGAGAAAAGATATTCCTCAATAAAGAAGTCAAAACCTACATAATAATACATGGTCTTCAAATCAAATTTTACATACCTTGTACAAAACTCCCAGTCAGCCTTGCGTGCAGGGGGGCTCCACTTCCTCCTTCACTCCTCCATCTCCTCATCTGTTACATGAACATCCATTCTCCTCTCATGCATATCTATTGTGATGATGTCTGCATTTTCGATGAGACCAATAGGACCGCCTTCCTGAAAAATTTTCAATGCACTCCTCAAAGAAATGTGGAAGCTTATAGCAACGATGAGGTGTCTTTTCTAATAAAGTTTGTTTATTTATTTATTGAATTTGATTTGGATTTTGACATTTCGCCAAATGCTATTGGAACAGGATAGAGGAATATGCAAGGGAAGCCTGAAGCTAATATTGTATGGTATATTTCCTCATACCTAAGGTATCAATTTATACTTGTCAAAAAGTAAAAAGGTGTCGATTCAATCTTCTAAATTAGGTGCTTATTTTTCATTTATGTCCATGTGTCCTTTGTGACACTACAGAATTCCCGAGTCTTTTAATGTCCCTTTTCTTTTCAGCCCCTAATAATCATCTTCAAGATTGATAGGGGAAAAATTGAGATTGAGGTTTTGAACTTGAAATGAACCATTATGGTCCATCCATGTTGCATCATGTCACAATATCCTTCATTCAAAATTCCTTCCACATCCTCTCCCCACCAACTTACCCATCCAAATGCCCTGCCCCCAACAAATCCAGCAACTCTGTATTGACAGAAATTTTAGTTTGGGTAATATATTCCTCATTAAATATTGGAAGCATGGATCTTCAGATTGATAATTGACATTTCCATTTAGAATCCTATGGGTTTATTTAGGAGGGGGAAAAAGTACAAAGTAGGATGGTGCTTCTTCAGAGAAACAATGAGGGCTTTGTGTTCCTCTGAGATGACATTCTCCCATAAAGTCTAACACCAATCCAATCAACTATCATCATCGTCATTCAACACCTTTACAATATAGAGATGACAAACGGTCATATAGAAAATTTGGTCCAACGGCAATGACATAAAACTAACTCAAAACTAGATCACTGTCAAAAACTAAAAATTCATTTCACCAAGTAAAACTGTAAAAGTACCCCAAAAAAACATGTAAATACATTCTTACAATCTCTCACATTACTAGAGATACATATCATCAACTACACATTAACATATTTTCATTAAGCAGGTTTCATCTAAGGTGTTCATATACATTGGAGCATTTCTCATCGAGAACATTCCCTGTATCCTAATGCATTATTGGCTCAAAAACACCATTTACTCAACATATAAAAGATAACAAATTACATAATAAAGAGGAACATGTAAACATTAAGAGATGTAAGAAAAAAAGCTTCAACTAGATTATATATATATATATATATAACTCATTCAACTAGATGATTAAAATATAAAATACCTGTGTTTCAGGTCATATGTGGCCAACAATATATCTGTGTGAAGCTTCTGAGAATCCTCCATCAGTCAACAGCGCAACATCCTGCGCTGTAACATTCAAAAGTGGTATTCAAAAGAATGTGCAAAAGAAAAGGATATCAGCATTGTCAACTTAGGTCAATGAAACATGTACTGAAAAGGCATTAACAGAAGGTACCTTCACTAAGCTTATCTTAGAAAGAACAAAATATCCAAATGTTAAAGGAAATCATGTCTATTAAGGATCACACAGCCAGGTGATCAATTAACAGTCCCTGCTCCCCACAAACAGAACCCCAACAACCCAAAAAAGGGTGGAAAAGAAATTGTTCCATGTGGCAGGGATGGGCGGAACAACCTTCATATGATCGCAACAAACAATTATTAATTAAGAGATCATATTTGACCTTTTCCTGTAATCTCATTAACTATTATATTTGATTACAAAAGTTTAAACTCAGTGTAATAAGTTTTATTATAAGTAATAAATTAATCATTTTAGAAAATGATAATTACAAATTTATTTATTTATTTTTATTTTTTCTCTCTCTTCAACCCTTTTATAGATTTCCAAAAATATCTCCCGAACCCAGATGACAAACACGAAGTGATTTTGCAGCCTGGCCTGTACTAGGTTAAGGCACTCTAGCTGAGACTTGACAAGCCTGTGCCTTTTTTGGAATCTAGGTGCGCCTTTAACAACTATGTCGTGTATTGGAGAAAAATAGACTGTGATTGAAGAAATAGAGTGCCTGAAACTATCTATGAAATGTCAATATTTGCAGGTTCAATATACTCCCTCCCTCCCTCCCTCTATTGGTTGAATCCAAAATTTCAACCATGAAATCCACTGTGGTCTCCAGCGAACTCTATTCATACCATTCCCACTGTCTAACTAACGTCACCAACATCCCACCTAATCCATCACAATCATCAATTACTTCCTCTCTTCTTTTTTTCTTTTTTTCCTCTCAAATGGACTTGGGAAATAAATATTTCTCCGGAATCATTGAATATAAGAAAAATTACAATTTCTCCCATCCTATCATATGTTGGGCCAGGAAGTGAGGATCAGGTGCATAGTGGGAATTGGTCAACTTTTGCCTAGATGGTGGCATTATCTATTGTATTTTGGCTTGCTTCATAAAAATACCCAAAAATTGGATAATTAGAGCTGGGGTAACAGACTCAATTAAGAACCAACCATATTTGACCTAGTTTGAGTTAGGATCACTCCAAGTCAATCCTGGGGCTAATGTCTCATACTCACACCTTGGTTCAGCATATGCAAATGCCCATACTACACCTGTAAAAGCCTTTTGAACAATCCAATTCCAAGTTCATAAAATGTTCAGATAACTTTTTACCTCTATAATTCCAAGCTCATCAAATATCCAGATAACTTTCTACTTCAGTAGTCCATTAATTCTTTTCCACCAATGTACAAACCGAAAATCCATATAACCATTATCCAAGCAAAATCAAGAGAAGTACTAGCCAACCATTCTATTTCTTCAATCTGAAACAAGGAAAAAAAGAATATATTTGTGTTTAAAAAAATAATAAAAAACCAAGCATAACATTTTCTAAATGCCTGTGGTAGGATTATCCACACAAGCTTTCATTCAAAAGCAACCGCTATAATCTCCAAAGATTAATTGAAGGCTCATAGCCTCCTTGAAAATGTATTACAGTATATAAGTTAAGTAGGCATAAACAAGAAGGGGAAAACATTTTGAACAAAAAGAAGGTAAAAGGGAAAATGTTACAACCTTCCTAAGAGCACCAAAAAATTCAAAGAGATTTAAGGAGTAAAGATAAAAGTGTTAGATCTTTATGAACAAAGGTCATATATATAATTGTGCATGACTTTCATATAGATCTGTCAATAGATCAGATTATGATCCTACTTCAAAAAATCCAATTAGCCATTTGATCTAATAAGAATAAGTGACATTAAGTTTCTTTTACAAGCATATGCGACCTCATCAGAGCAGGGTCACATCATGATAGACTGATAGTTATTCACTCATTCAACCACAACACGAGCAAGTCCAACATGTTTAACCATCATGAAGATCTATTAATGATTTAAATTTGTTTAATTTTATAAACCAAAGACATAACAACATGGACGCTTGTAAACATTAAATTTTGAGATATGCAATGGACAGTACATTTTATAAACATATAACGTGTATGCACTGCATTTGGTAGAGGGGAATGAAGGGAAGGGGAGGGAAGGGGGAGAAGAGAGGAGGGATGGAGCAAAATCTCTATTGTTTGGTACTAGGGAGAGTTGGAGTGAAGGATTGATGGATGAGGCATTCCTCCTGGCCAACCAGTTTATAGTCCCTCCAAAATTTGAGGGAAAAGGAGGGGAAAAAGAAAAAAACAAAAGGAAGTATTTTATATTATGTAAAATGACATTATTCGTCAAGTTTTTCAAAATTACATAATGACGGTACAATAATAAAATAATAATATATAAAGCATCTCCCTCCTTCCCTCCCTCTAACCAAACAACAGAATGTGTCACATCCTTCTAGTCCCTTTTACTCAACTGAACCAAAAGAGAGAAGAATGCATTTCCTTTTGTCAGATGCCTCTATTAACCCTCCTCCTCTCCCTTCTACCCACTTTTCCATCCTTATGCCCTTTAGATTAAGGAAAAATTCATGACAACAAATCAATTTAAAAGTTGTACTAGAAAAGAATTGGAAATTAGCTAACAAAAAATATAAGAAGAAAAATAAAAATCTACTTCCGTTACCATAGAAAAGAGATTCAAATACTTTTGACCTTATATTCTATTTAACCTTACATTCTATTATTAAAGGGAAAAAAAGAATAACTTACAACAGATCACTTCGTACCAGTAATACAAGGCCATCCATCAGGGTATGGACCATATAAGTTGAAGGTCTAAATAAACATTTTATAAAAATACATAAGGTGGTCCCTGAAATGGTTGCCAATTAACTGCTCTAATTTGAGGTGGCGCAATTTTGAAAATCACTGAAGTCTATCATCTTTAAGCAAACCTATCCCGGCCTTAACAATTTCTATCTTTGAGCACTAGCAGGTAAAAGAGAAGGAAACTAATAAAACAGAATATATATATATATATATATATAGTAGTAGCTTGTCAAGGTTGGAGGGGTATGACCCTCCGTATGTGTATTTGTTGGCTTCTAGCCTTTTCAATAAATAGCTTACCTTTCAAATATATATATATATATATATACATACATTGATCTAAGAAGTAGAATACATTAAACACACGGCTGAATGAACTAAACCAACTTGAGATAATAAATGGAAGAATCAGAAAGTAAGTTTGTAAATATAACCAAAACTTGTTACAGCATAATTGAAAACCTCACACTACGGAATTGTGTGAGAAATATGCAAATGGAGGGAGATGCAACAATGACAATAAATCATTGCATCAAAGACGCTCTTATACCATTCCTCTTGTGTTCAACGTGACCCAACAACCAAGAATGATATAACAATAAGAGTATTGTGGAAACAACCAAGGATAAAACCAAGAAGTCTGGGGAAATTCCTTCACTAAGAATAAATCGCACTGCATGCCTAGTTTGAATTCCACAACATAATGCTTTCTCTTTGCTTAACATTAGAGGACAAGATCATCAATATAAAATACCAAAAAGAGCATCTCCAATGCTAAAAGCTATTTTCGCATGCCAAATCTATATTTTGACAGGTGCTACAGTGTCAAAATGCTACATTTTAGCAATTTTGCTTCAATGACGCATTTCATACAAAATGCTATTTTTTGACATAACCACTATTCTTTTTCAACTACCATTCCCACCATTTATATTTGCATCAGTAATATTAATATTAGGCACATTCCAAGTCAAATTGTAGACATTAGAAGGAAACTAAAATTAAACCTAATTAAAAAGAAGCAAAAATCTAAAATAGTTAATTGTGTAAAATTAAACCTAGTTCTTGTGATTCTACTGAAAATTCAAATGAAACTGGTTGGGACAGTCAAGTCAGTTCATCAATTCCTATTACAGAGAACACAACAACTGAATTAGATGAATTATTTCTTCCAAGTGATTTTAATAGTTAATTGTGTAAATATGCTATAGATCCTCGTCCAACATAGCTTAAAAGTTAAAAGATGATCCAGTTGAAAATAATTGTGTGTGTAGTGTGTAGAGAGAGAGTAAATAATTGGATCTCACTTAATTAATCTGATCTATTCACTACAATGTTTTACCAACATTAAAATAGCAAACCAGCAAACATCCAGATTCTATTCCAAAGAAAATAAAGCATCCATATAATTGCAGAAACTATTAGCATAAGTTCAACATCCATTTAATTGAAGCCTATCCAATAACAAAAACACATTGATTTCCCACAAGACATGATTCTTGGCTAGACAACACCATATTAATACACATAATGGAAATTAATCCAAAATTCACTTCATATTAATACACATAATGGAAATTAATCCAAAATTCACTTCTATTAGGAGGCTGGAGCTTAAATTAGCAATTACCCAATAAACATACTTGTAAAACAGATCATTAAGAATCAAGACCCAATTGGGAAATCGCAGAAAGAATACCTAAAGGAAGCCAATCAACAAATCAACACTGAAATTGAATTGAAGACTGCAAAATACATATACACACACATGGAAATCAAATCAACACAAAACATATGCATAGAGAGAGAAATCTGGATCCCAAATACAAAGCCCATGCCGGATTTTAGAATGAAATTGAAATTTTTTAAACACTGGGCATAGCAAAAACAACTAGGGAAGTAACCAAACCAACTAACCAATTTTGGGAATAATCATCGCAACCATTACAATGAGTAGAAATAGAAAACAGATATAGAATTAAGAAACAAAATACTAGTGCTTTCACATACTAGTAAAATTGAAATAATACATGAGGTTTGTGAAGAATTTGCAAATTAAAAGATGATGAAAACTTACCCTGGCCTTACCAGGGATTATGCACTGCCACACCATCAGATTCACTGAACCATCGTGAAGAGTCTCTGGCTTTGCAACAAAACCCTACAATCAAACTCATCGATTATAACGAATTCCGAAAAGCCAATTCAAAATTAAAAACGAAAAGAGAACCTAGATTATATACAATCGCTATATATAAATAGAGAAAGGGGTGGTGTGCCAAACATGAGGGTGATTCTTCCGCCATGCTTTTCGCTCCTCGGCAAGATGGCCATGCGCAATACCTCCCGACATTCTTCAGTTTCTCTATCTAAAATTCTCTATTATATATATATATATATATATATATATATATATATATATATATATATATAATTTTTACAGAAGAAAAAGAGCAGCCCTCTCTCTCTCTCTCGTCCTCCTCGTCTGTTGCCGCCCTTCTCTTCTCTCTCTCTCTGTTGCCCTAGAGACATAGGAGCGAAATAACAATAGCCATTTCTTGTGCTACAATTGGCACTAGAATTGGCAAAGTTAAAATTTGGCAGGAGAAATGACAGCCCATTGGAGAGCCCAATTGAAGCCCATCTGCTATATTTTACAAATAACAGCCCAAAAAGCATTGGGTTGGAGATGCTCTAAGAAATGTTCTTGCCTATAACCCTAGAAATTCAACTCTAAGTTATGTTTCATAAAGCCAGTAATCAATAAAGTAACAGCAAGCAGGTAATCACACAGTAACACCAAATTAATTAGAATGATAGTGCCACAAAATCACCAAGATTAATTAGTCAACAAGAAAAGAGGTCGTAAGAGAAAATATCACAAACTAGAGAGTATCCACAATGCATAACCACATTGTAAAAAAAAAAAATCCCACTCAAAAATGATTCAAGGTCCCTATTTGCTAATAGTACTAAAAGCTTAAAAAAAAAAAAAAAAAACAGTAGAAATTAGTAGGGACTTCTATATCGAGTAGGTGCAATAATTCAACTACTTCTTGGCAAAATCCAATATTTTTAGTTCAAAATATTTTAATTTAAAAATAATCATTAAAATTTTACATATAATATAAGGAAAAGGAGTAACCTTAAGACCATAAGAAGATTAATATTGCTCATTGAACACAAATTGAAAATATTATTTATAATTGCAATTTTATATCAAGTATAAATATGCACATCCGTGGATACCCGATCACAGACATTTTTTTTCAGTTAAAGATCACAGACATGATTATATGGAAAACTGAAATAAACAAAGACCTGCAAAATATAAGTGCCCCACAAAGAATCCCCACAATGGTCCCATACAACCATAGAACTCTCCCCCAATTAGCTTGGCTACTTTTCAGCCTAGCAATCATTCTATAACTTAATTCTTGAAGATTTTAGACCCAAGATCTCTCGTGGCTACAGGCTGTAATGTATGAGATGCTCATATTTCATAAGCTAAATAATAACTCCATTTTAAGATAGACAAAAGCCTATAGAATCACAATGATAAAAAGAAAGGTTAGTTGATACTGCAAGGTTCATCCACAAAAAGAAAAAATGAGGACTTCGTCAAAATGCAATTATGCAATTAGTTAGAGACAAAAATGTGCCAATCCTGTTTCTATTTGGACATGCAATTATCATTACCTCCCTATATATGGTGAAAATAATTTCTAACAAATCCACATATACAAATAAACACCAACTAGAAATGGGAAAAATAGAATAAGAAACAAAGTTTATGATTTCCTCTTCTACCTGTTCCTGTATACTCTGTATTCTCTGTTTGAATTCACTACCTTAGTAGTGCCATCGCATTTAGTAAAAGTAAACTCTCCACATACGTAGCTGCTCTCAAACTTTGAACATCCAAAAAGCACATTGGAGTCTTAAATGTACATTCTTTTGGATCATAAACTGCTAGTTCCCTGTTGCCCTTTTCCACCAAAACTTCACCTGTGTTTCTCAAACACAAAGGCTTCAAATAGCATAAAAAAATCAATTTAGTACATGATTCCTTCTTCCCATATTCTTTCATTGCCCATACATCAACCTACCTGTGTTCCATACCCACAAAGCCATCCTCTCAAATCAACCAAACTAAACTCATCATTTTTACCCCCAAAATTCCTTTTCGGCACCTCCTTAAACTTTTCCTCCACCAAGTCAAAATAAAATTTTCACAAGAACCCCATTCTCACGGCACCAAATTGAAAAACAAGACTCCCTCGTCTCTTTCGAAGACACATACATAAATTCCAAAACTTTGCGACAACATAATCACTTTATAACCAACCATTCGCGGATGAATCAAAAAGCCCATAAAGCTCACTAGAAACAGAATTTATAGAATTAAAAGGGCATGAAAATATCACATGGGCTACATAGAGGGCTTTGTAATTACAGTAAAACACAATAGAACCAAACCATCGTAAGAACACAATAACTTGGCATAGGAGTCCGAGGTCTTCCAAGGCGAATCGACCCTTTTCGATTCATGAAAAGATTTGCAATCAAGGAAAATGATTGCCATCATTTGCATACGCATCTGTATTGCATAAAATTCTGAACTCGAGAGTATCGAATAAGATTTCGTTTAGTTGGGGTTTTTATCTTGTTCTTAGTTTTATTAGGATTTCTAACTTGGGTGGGCTTCAGTCTAATTTTGCCCATTTTAATTCAAAATTTCCGAACTTAAAACATCTATTAATTTTATTTTATTTGGTTCAAATTTTTAGTGTCATAAATTTAACTAATAAAAAATAATATAAAAAATGAACATTGGTTCCTCCAACTCCAACTTACAAAGGGAAAATTAAATCATAATTCTTTTCAAGTTTTAAAACTCTTATGTATTAGTTACATGAGTTTAAAGTTGCAATTTTTTTTCTTTTCCTTTGTTCGCATTCTAGTTCTAAAATGTGTGATATTTGTAAGTTGAATTGTAATTAGAAAATGTTTGGCCTAAATTAAGATTTTGACGCAAGAATAAAGTTGCTCTATTATGATTTGGAAGTTATTGTTCTATTATGATTTGAAAATTATAAACTTCAAAACAAGAAATTGTGTGAGAAGATAAATTACACAATTCTTTGATACAATGGTAGAATATTTTTACTAAAATTGTACTCTAATATTGTTTCAATTAAAGTTTAATGCATGACAATTAGTATTTTCTCGTTTGACTGTTTTTTTGGCCTTTTCTTTTTTATGACTTCGTATTCACCCAAATAAGTCAATCAACTTTCTGAATTTTTAAAAATTTGTACCCTAAAACTTGAGGAACTTGCAAGGTATGGGTCATTTGCGATGTAGATCAGCATTTACTTTGTAAACAAGAAGGATAAGAAGGAAAATCTTTCATGAACATCGATTTTCAATCCGCCGACTACATTCAAGGAGTTTGGATTCGGTGCTTGATTTCGTTTGGGTTTTGAATCCTAACATAAATGCAAATAAAAATTTTAAAAATTTAAAAAATATTTGGTTGGAGATTTTTTTTTTTTTTTTTTTTTTTTTTTTTTTTGAAAGTAATTTGGTTGGAGTTTTGAATCCTCATATTTACATTTAAAATATTGGTTAAAAAACACTACGACTAGTTTTTAAAACCATTACAAAGATGGGAAATAGTAATCAAGAGACAGCTAAATGAGAATTACCTCAATATACTCAAATAACTTAGAATCATTACAAAGGCCAAAAAACAAAAAAAAAAAATTAAGACAAACCTCTAGTACATTTCACAATGTAATTTATGACATAAAACTAATACAAAACTTATAATTTCTTAGCAAAGTCCTCATGTCTATATCATTCCAGAAACCCTATGAAACATAAAGTTAACCAAAACTACCATCATTCCTTGTGTGTCCTTGCCAAGTATCTCGAATCATTTTCTCTGTTTTAAAATAAAGAGAAAAATAAAAAAATAAGCTTCATCAAATATATATATATATATATATAAAGGTCAGAAAAACATAACAAGAGCACAAAGAAAATTTAAAATTTAACTTAAAAGTATCTTTATGTAGGAAAAGAGTGAGAAGTGATGTCTAGTGTTACCAAGCTTCTGATTAAATAGTAGACGACTTTACTTGTACAGCATGTTGGTTATGGGAATATCAAATGGTGGTAAGCCGATTGTCCAATTTACGGATCATAATTTTTTTTCACAAGTATATTGAGAGATATATTCTTCTGAGAAAAAAAAAAACGAAGTCTCTCATCTGCTTATTAAGTATAAAACTATGTCCAAGACGAGGGCATTGAGGTGATCAGAGGTTTTTGCCCCTGGGGGCTTGGTTAAGTTGGTAAGATCTTGGCCTGGACACCCATATGTCCAAGGTTCGGACCTTGCCACCTCCATTATTACTCTGAAATTATCATACTGCTTACACTGTGGGGTTACACTGTGGGGCCGAGTTGAGTAGTTGGGGACTTACTTGGTAACTATAAGTTCAAATGGCAGATAGTTGCTTGGGAAGATTCCCAAGTCATAAAAAAAATAAAAATAAATAAATAAATAGTATAAAACTATGTCAAGGTCAATGCATTCAGTTACTATATATATATATATATATATAGGTCTATTAATTGCCATTGCATGTCTTCATTGTCTAATCCCTCTAAAAGAACACAAAAAATCAGCATAATTTAAAACTGCAATTAATGCTTTAATTCAATATCTATGTAATTGAAAATTTAGGCTTGAATCAAGATAATTGAATCATTTAGGGTTTGTTTGTAATTAATACAACAAAAACAATAAGATAAAAATTACGCAAAAGAAAAAATTTAAATTTCTTTTAATAACTAATATCTAACATAACAATCAAAACACATGAATTAGCTTAGAGTTTAAAGAGAAGCAAAAAAAAAAATAGAGATGATGTGATTTACCTTCTTACAATTGTTTTTTCTTCTTTCCTTGAGGAGTACGAATGGGCAAAACGAAACTATTCACATATAAAATCAAACTTGAATCCAGAAACATTCTTCGTCCAAGACTAGTGCACCTGTTAATTTTAGGATTATAGATGAATATCTTTACATCATCAAACATCATCACAATTTCACCTTTGTTCGTTACACACAATGGCTTCAAAGAATGTATATGTGTTGTATGTATCCAGCGTGGGATGACAATGAACTTAGTCCAAGAATTATGCTCACCATATTGCTTCATGGTCCACACCTCAACATAGTTCTCATCAATGGTATTATAATATAAACTGAGGCATCCTCTTATAACCATCAAACCAAACTCATCTCCAAACTTATTTCCTTGATTTATACAATTTGGTGTTGGCATCTCCTTGAACTTCTCATCCACCATATCAAAGTAAACAAGCAGATAGTCATATGTATGGGGGGCTTGTGAATAGTCCGTAGCAGCTGGGTGGCTGAGGTTGTGGGCATCACCATACATACAAGTTGGTGGATCATTGTTATTGTTATTACTATGAGTACGAGAGGTTTGTTGTTTTAGTAGAAAGGGAGGCATCACAGCACGGGCCGACTCTATCTTAAAAGCAACCGAGTGTAACACTCCATTAACAATGGCCAAATCACTGAGAAAACGATAAGGGCATTTCTTAACCTCCGTCCAGCATTGACCTCTGAAACTGAAAACCACAAAAAAATCCCTACGAAAAAACAGCACCTTGTAATCATCCATGGAAGAATCATAGCAAAATCCACATGGTGCATAATCGCCATATATATGATATGAGAACCTCTTGTATGCCCTAGTGGATGGATTCCACAGTACACACAACTTGTCCTTTTTAAGCCACAACAGTACTAAACCATTAAAAGAACAGTTCCAGTTCACCGTAGCCTTCCTATACTTCTCACATGGAAAGCATAGTTTTTGCATTGAATCATCACAGCAGTCATAGCATACGTAGTTTAAATCTTTGGATTTGGCTGTGGTTCTGTCCCAGAAAAAGATACTTTGACGCTCCAACTTAATTGATTCATTGAGATATGATCTCTCAAATTCGGGTTCGGAAATTGCATCAAGCCATGATTTACAAACGCACTTGAATCGCAACAGAGACTTCACCGGTAGTCTCAAGAGTATATTGGATATGATTTCATATGGAAGACTTGACGTGTCACCTTCAATCCCTAGCTTTCTTCGTTTTATCGTCCTTCCCATTCTCTTGCAGCTGTATCTGTCTTGGCTTATGCAGAAAGGGGGTTTTAGGGTAGAATTTATGCAGGTTTCAGGCTAGAGTTTATGCATATGTACGTAATAGGTTTATTATATATAACACTGGGCAAGAGAATACGAATACTAGTCCATTTGGGATTCGTTAAAAACAGGGATTCTTAAAAACAATTTTATTTAAAAAAAATTACGTTTAAATGTGTACTTATAATGGTTACCAAATATAGTGCAGTAGAACTAAACTCTATTAAGTAACTCTTTTTCATTACTTTTTAATTGTGGGCAAGAGAATTCGAATGCTAGTCCATTTGGGATTCCTTAAAAACAGGGATTCTTAAAAACAATTTTATTTTTAAAAAATTACTGTACTTATAATGGTTACCAAATATAATTTGGTAGAGCTAAACTCTTTTAAGTAACTCTTTTTCATTACTTTTTAATTTTTTAGGTAGCTCTTTTTTATTACTTTTTAATTTTTTATAAAACAATACCCCTTTCTTAATAAAATAATTATTATCAAATATGGTAATATCATATTATTGTAAAATTAGCAATAGAAGTGTTTTGGAAAATACTGTTACCACTTTTTGTATTCCAACGGCAATCCTAAACGGACTCTACAAATTACAAACTGAAATTATATATAATTATATATAACTTTCCATTTATTAGTGCATTCAAAAAAATTATATATATAGCTTGAGGAAAAAAGAGGTCCTTCCCAAAGACGAGAGCCAATTACATACGGCTAAACTATGTATAAAGAAGTAACTATTTATAAAAATATATTTTGTACTAGGAGTACGTTTTTTTTTGTTATTATTTATTAAATGTTATAAATTGGCAAATGCATGCCCTAAAAACCCTCCTATGAGCTCCTTAAACTAATGATAGTATTAGAGCCCTGTTGGAATTTTAAAAAAATACAGTTTTAAAAGGAAGGTGTTTAGTGACACAATATAATAAGTATTTTTCACAATTAAATTATTTTTTAATTTATTTGGTTATAATTTTTTTAAAATACGCTAATTTTACAATAATATCCTTTAATATGATTGTTACTATATTTGATAATAACAATTTTATTAAAGAAAGGGTGTAATTGTCTTTATAAAAAAATTAAAAAAACACAATTGTCTAATGAAAAAAAGCTACTTAAAATATTCAACCTATACTCGTAACTCAATTTTAAAAGCTCCAAATTGTTACTTAATTCAAATACTTTACTGAACTAAATTTGGTAACTACTAATAATGGTTATTAAGGAAACAATCCAAACAGGCTCTAAAATAAGCCAAAACTACAAATTGTAATTTGTTCCGGCATACTTTTTTTTTATTTGAAATTTGAGACAAAAAGAAAAATGAGCCACACATATACACTTTTTCTTGCACTATATTCCAAAACATTAGTTGCACCATATTCCAAAACATTAGTTTTATTATATCAAATATATACAAAATTCATTGGAGTAAAGGAAAAAGTCTCTTAAGTCTCTAGCGCTCCATTCATAAATAAAATTAAAAAATTAACCTTCCGAAGAGTGTTTAACTCGTGATTGGTCTTCCTACGTCTATTTTTTGAACGAAAAAATTACAAAATTACACAAATAAGTAAAACCAAATTCTGCTTATTTCAATTTTATAAATTGATCATGCTTCCAAAGAGTGTTTAAAAAGTTTATAACGTACTCTTATCACCAGCAGTTCCTACTCAATCTAACATCATCAACATAAAAAGTTTTTAACGTACTCTTGTCACCACCAAGCTTAATGTTAGAAAGAGGTGTACAGTGTCATAGTAATAAAATGGGGACGGATCCAAGGAAATTTCTCTCATAGTATCTCTAAGTATTTAATTCTACCGCTGTTATAGTGCCACATCACCAACTTACCATTCCATCATTAATTTATCAAGCTTAATTAATTAACTAATAAATATGATATATTTTGAACTAAAATTTCTAAAATAATAATTACTGCGATTTCCCATCGTCTAAAACTTTCACTTTACTTTCAACTTTATATTCTTATTCACAAATTCAAAAAAAAAAAATTATACCCAAATTTTTAGATTTTTACTCACCCTTAATTAAATTATTTTCAACTGTAAATTCTGAAAATAATCCAATTGAAGCAAGGTAAACTAATTGGATGAGAAAGAATCCTTTTTAGTCCAAATGATACCATATTTATTAACCCAAAAAAACATTTGTGAAATCTCTGGAAGGTAGGGATCCAGATAAGCTTTGAGTTATCTAATGTACCAAGATCTTAAAATACTTTCTCAACCCAAAAAAAAATAATAATAAATTTAAATTGTATCCAATAAAGATTGATGATGGTAGATGAAAATCGAAAAAGGAAAACTTAATGGTAATTGTTATCTTATAAATTTTAGAGCCAAAAAGTAAAATGAAAGTTTTAGCGGGATGAGAAATTGTCATAATTGTTATCTTGAAAATTTTAGTACAAAAGATACCATATTTATTAGTTAATTAATTAAGTTTGGTAAAGTAATGATAGAATGGTAAGGTAGTGATGTGGCGCTATAACAGCCGTATGAGTAAAATACTTGGAGATGCTAGGAGATAAATTTTCTTGGAGAGGACCCGTTCTCAAAATAAAATTAAGGTTAAATTGTTTGATGCACATACAATACATACATACATGTAAGTCATCGTATATATTATTGTAAACTCTCGTGGGTGCATTTATCAAACTTCCTGATCCACCACCAATTTCATATATCTGAATGTAGATAATAGGATCAATATATTATTTACTCCTAAGCTTCATGGGTGAACAATTAACTTGAAGAAATTGAAAGCTGTCAAAAACGCAAGAGGGAAAAATGGAACAGCGAAGGTTCTAACAAGGAGATTGAAAAAAATGAAATTTTAGAACATCAAAATTTAGATGTGAGTGTTGAACCCGTGCCCTTTATTCATTTCTACTTAACAGGACATTCCCCCGCATTTAAGTTACGTCAGATGTCTCTCGTCATTACGTGTTCATAAGTTAAGTTTTCACAATGTGCACCCTCAAAGTATCTAAAAAATACAGCCAGGTTTAGTAATTTATTAACCATTACCATTACACTATGTCACTCAGAAAAATTAACCAAAACAGATCAATGCCAGTGAATCAAAGTGTAATACAGAAATTAAGCTTCGCTATATCATAAAATAATTTTTAAATGTACATATGAAACCAAAAATTAATTCCCAGAATGACTTAAAATATTCCACATGCAATTCCATTACTACTTACAGTTACAGGACAGTTTAGTGTATAGATTAACATGGAGACAATAAGGCAATAAAATTATGTTATACGTGAAAAAATTATATAATTTGTAACTCATAAATCATATAATTTTAGTTATTTGTACTTCATAGAAAAACATCTAATATTTGTGTGTGGTATGTGTTTGTGTATGTATATGTAAATATTTATATGTACATGAAGCACATATTTTGATGACTCATCTCCTATTCACATCCCCACTCCTTAGTAAAACCCTACTTTATCTTTCTTTTCTTTTCCTTCAATATAAGCAAACTTATATACAAATATGTAATTCAGTTTTTATATGTATCCAAATTAAGAATCTGATTTATGAAATATAGGCAAGTCAAAGATGTATCCCACACATGTCCAGAGTATTCGAGAAATGTCAGTGCACGACACGTGCCTATAGTGGGAAAATTCGTTGTGCTTATTAATTTAGACGAAAGACAATCAAACAAGAAAAAAACAGGTAACTACCTGATTTTTTTTCTTTTTCTGTATCAGTAAGGGTAGGAGTTTGCAAAGGTGGGATTGATTGGTAGGAAGAAGGGGGCTTGAGATATAGAGAACGCGCACGAGTTGAAAAGTGAGAGAGGAGAGAAATTTGGATGCTCAATAGAAGTTTCTCCCAGAGGTAGCATGAGAGAGTCTATATATGAGGTCCTCTCTATTATACTGTGCTTTGCATATTTTTGCCTTTTTTCTGAAATTTGTCAGTGGTTTGAAAGATACATGGGGAAAATGTTGGAATTGTGTTGTGATGAAATGAGGAGAGGTTATAGCTTCCCATAATTTTATAGATTCTGTGGATTTATGCAGAAGTTCCTCAAAATGTTCACATATTAAGTTAGATGGTGTTTCCAGATTTTGGACTTTTTGATTCTATCAAAAATTGAAGTTCTTAAACAATAAAACTTATAAAAGAAATTCACAGAATTTAGACCAATTCTAGAATCTACTAGCCCAAAATTTTGTTGTGTTAATGAAACTGAAAAAAAAAAAAAAAAAATTTATCAATTTTGAACGAACTCTTTTTCAAAATTGGGCCAATAATCCAAATTAATGGCTTCCAAAAGTTGAGGTCAAATGTATTCAATCCACTTGTCCTATAATCCTATTCGAATTTAAATATGCAATCAAAATACGAACTCCACTAAAAAGCATCTTAATTCAACGAATTATAAAACCACCATTGCTAAAACTAAAGCTTTAGTTTATATGTTTGTTGAAATTTTTAACAAGTCTAAAAAGGCCGCCACAATTAGGAATACAGATCTATTTAATATCAGTTGATCTTTTTTCATTTATTTAATTTTATTCCTTAATTTATTTGTAGTTGACAAGATACTATTATTGCTCTATAATTTCTCATGTCATCTAAGTCTTTTGATGTTTCAGCTCTTGCTCATTATGTCAACCAGGCTATCAGTTTTTTGGTCATTCTAGTGAAAGATAATCTAGTTAAGAATAATCCTGCATAAAAGCATACAATTCAATGTAATGTGAGAATAAAAATTACAAAGAACCGAAGTAGTTATCCACATATGCAGGATGCTAATAGCCACACAATCATTGCAGATTCAATCCAGCAAAGGTTATTTAAATTTCACTAAACAAATATCTGAAAATTATCAATTATGACGTGCCAAATTGTGGAAGCAAAAATAACAATAAAAAGTAATTTAACAATACAAA